CTTTGTTTGTGGCAGTTTGTGTGCCCAGCCATGTTAGTGTCCTGTATGTGTCTGTGTGTGTGTCTCTGGGATATGTGGTCAGCTTCACCTACTGGTTAACCTGCAAATGGGAAAGTGGCAGCTGCATCCCTCAGCCTGGACAGAGGCCTCAGGTCCCCCATCACACCTGACTGGGCTACAGTGGCCAGGCAGGAGGAAATCCTGGACTGGAGCTGCTGGAGGTGGTGGCCACTCTTTACATCACTTAATACTCAAGTGACCTCTACTCCCCCTCTGTATTTCCTCTAACACATGGAAATATTTTTCCACATTTAACTCTAAGCACTCCCTATTCACCCTCACTTTCAGCCTGCATAAGTCAATGCTGATGCTGAGAGAAGTGGGTCCCTTTCACCCTCACCTTCTCATTCTTGTTCCTCTATTTTCCCTCTCCTTTGATTGAAACTAGAGTGTCTCCTGTGATGGCTCAACCTTGGCCAGCTGCCAGATGCCCACTCAGCTGCTTTCTCATGCCCTCTCTTTAACAGGACAGGTGGAGAACATAAGATGAAAAAGCTAGTGGATCGAGATAAAGACAGGGAGATCACTTATCACTTACTATCATGAGCAAAACAGATTTGATTTGGGGAAAGTTAATTTAATATTGCCAATTACAATAGATTTGGATGGTGAGAAACAGAACTAAAAATTAAAACACCTTCCCCCCACACCCAAATTTTCCCAGACTCAACTTCACTCCTTCATTCCTGACTCCTCTTACTCCCTGAGTGGTGCAAGGGGGTTGGGGACTAGGGGGTCGCGGTCAGTCCATAATGGTTCCTATCTGCTCCTCCTTCCTCCTCACACTCTTCCCCTGCTCCAGCGTGGGTCCTTCTTATGGGCTGCAGTCCTTCATGAACTGCTCCAGCGTGGGTTCTCCACAGGCCGCAGTTCTTGTCAGGAGAAACTACTCCAGTATGGGCTCTCCACAGGCTGCAGTTCCTTCAGAAAATACCCACCTGCTACCAGCATGGGGCCCTCCATGGGCTGCAGTGTGGATATCTGCTCTACCATGGTCTCTTCCACGGGCTACAGGGAAATATCTGCTCCAGTGCCTGAAGCACCTCCTCCCCCTCCTTCTTCTCTTACCTTGGTGGTCACACTGTTGTTTCTCATACTTTCCCCCTCTCTCCTTTCTGCCTCTGTGGCGTTTTGCCCTTTCTTTTGCCCTTTCTTTTGTCTTCACAAAAGCATCACCAGCTTCTCTAATTGGCTCAGCTTTGGCCTGCGGTGGGTCTGTTGATGGAGCCGGCTGGAACCGGCTTTGTCTGGCACAGGGCAGCCCCTTACCTCTTCTCACAGAGGCCACCCCTGATCCCCCCCTATGCTACCAAAACCTTGCCATGTACATCCAATACATCTCCCTACACTTTTGTTTTTTCTTCTTTCTGCTCTCTTTTCCTACACCCTTCTGTAATTCTGATGTCAACTTTCCTGTAACCTTTTATTACCTTTTGTGCATGTGTTTTCCCATCCTTCTACTTTCGCTTGCCAAGCTTCCTTCCTCTCTCTTAGTTCTTCTCACTTTGTGTTCACATATGACTTTTGTTTCTTGAAAAAGTCTGTGCTTCTCCATCTTTCACTCCAGCTAATGCACATTTTCCTTGTCTCTCTATAGCTACACTGTAAAGAAATAGTATATTCATGTTTCTCTAAATTGCCCTTATAACTCGTCTTAGGATATTTTTCTTAATTATCTGGAACAATTCCTACCACAATTGTCACTTCCTGTTTATACTAAACAGATTTTCTCTCTCTCTTCTTCTCTCCCCCACCCCCCGCTTTAATTTCTGCACTGCCTGTAACAGTGGTCGTTCCACCTTCCTCTATGCTCTTTACATCAAGGTTTTGGAGACTTTTTGAAACCTTTCTCATCTGTCCACTGAATCTCTGTCTTTCAGTGCTCCTTTATCTCATTTCTCTGCATTCTCCCTGTGTGATTTCTAATGACAACTTGTCTGTCTTTTTATTCTTCCAGCTCTAGTAGACCAAACAGATCTACTAGGTACAGGTTTGTTGATATGCAGTGTGGTGCAGCAGCTGTTTTCTCAACCTTCTGTGTCCTTTGACTGTTCTAGTCTATCATTGAAACCTTTGTAATTTTTGGCTTAAGGCTCCCATTGACCATCTTATCTCCATTCTCCTTGAATTAACTGCTTGAATTAACTGGACTCCTTGAATTAACTGCTGCTATACCTCTTTCTTGACTGCATCCCTTTTTATGGGTATCTTTATTATTTTTTTTATTTTAAGTTTGGATCAAATTCACAATGGCACTTCGCACTCTGTGCTACCAAGTTGTCTTCTCCACTCATTCACCATGTTTTGTCAAAGTTCCTCTTGATTATTCCCTTCACTCACTTCCAACTTCATGCAACTTTTCCTACATATATTGATGAGAGTTTGTCATACCAGAGACTTTGTTCTGTACTCTTTACATGCTAGTCAAAATACTTGGTTCTTCAGAGGCACTGAACAGGCATAGCATCTAAAAATAAAAGAGAGAGCTACAGCATCTGAAGATCAGGTCTGGCTGCCAACACTGATGACAGTATAAGGGAGCTGGACAGCTGGACAAAATCCTGGGATAAACTCTAGGATAAAGTTTTCATGTTCAAACTTTCTGTGCCCCAAAAGGGGGGGAGTGAAAACTTCTGCAAGAACTTCCAGTGTTATCATAGAGAAATCTCAGATCTTTTTTCTTTCCAGCACAATTGACACACACATTTCCTTGTGATATTTCAAAGTAGAAATATTGTAATTGAATTGGAAACATCAGAAAAGTGATCTGCTTGTATGTTTTTGAATAAGTGAGGTATTTGAGAGCAAAACTCCATTCTGTGTGGTGTTGTGCATTGGACTGTTGTTTCACTGTGCATCAGAAAGCTTTGTTTCTGGTGTTTCTAGAGAGGATGATGATCATGAAGAAAGGTAATAATGTGAGAATCATAGAAGATCCTGAGTGAGAAGGGACCCACAAGGATCATCGAGTCCAACTCCTGACTCCACACAGGGCAACCTAAAAGTTAAACCATATATCTAACAGCGATGTCTTCTTGAAGACCGACAGGCTTGGGGCCATGACCACTTTCCTGGGGAGCAAACTTAGTCTGCACTCAACGGCACAGGGCCACAAAAATGATCAGAGGGATGGAGCACCTCTGCTATGAGGAAAGGCTGAAAGAGCTGGGGTTGTTCAGCCTGGAGAAGAGAAGGCTGCGGGGAGACCTTATTGCAGCCTTTCAATACTTAAAGGGGGCCTAAAAGAAAGATGGGGATAGTCTTTTTAGCAAGGCCTGCTGTGACAGGACAAAGGGTAATGGTTTTAAACTAGAAGAGAGTAGATTTAGACTAAACACAAGAAAAAATTTTTCACAATGAGGGTGGTGAAACACTGGAACGGGTTGCCCAGAGAGGTGGCAGATGCCCCATCCTTGGAAACATTCAAGGCCAGG